TGGACAGGGCGTTGTTTCTAATATTCAAGAGGAGGACTCTATCCGGCCTGCGACCACCCCCTTAAAAGAGCACCACAGCTCGTAATTGAGGTGAGGAGAACACTCTACCGCCTATAAAAGGCCGACGTCTTTTCTACGCGCGCGAAACGTGCTTGAATCCAGTGCAAAATCGTTGTTGTCATTCGATTTAATGCAAAATATTTCTCAATAGTATAAGAGAGCAATCAACTAATTTCGAAAACTAGCTATTTGCGACTACGCCGTTGATTTTAGAAAAACAAAAGTCTCTAGACGCTACAGAAGCATGCTCACTTAGACATGAGTCGATTTGCGTATAAAAAAAATCACTGTTTAAAAACGTCACAGAAAAAATCTCTGAAAAGCATTTTTTATTCATAAATTCCTCATCATCATCTGTGCTACAGCACTATGGATAGTGGATTCTGTAACTTCCAAGTCGAAAGTTCTGTTGGCTGCAGTTCGCGCCGCAGTTGGCAACAGTGAAGGCGTTTTGAGACACGCAGGGACCGTTTTGGTGGTGGGACACTAGGCTACCTGGGTCTACACAGACGGTACATCATTACTCTACAGGTCGTGTGAGTGATACTAGGGTTCTCTATTTTGCTTGCTAAGATTGGTGTTGGCAGTCTTGCAACAGAGCTGAGGACGAGGCTCACCATGTCTCTCTCCAGGCTGAGGTCCCGGTCGTCCCTGAAGGCGGCCGGCGGGGAGATCAACCTCTCGTCGGCGCCCCCGCCGCCCCAGAGCAGGTCGGGGGGCACCGGCAGGGATGCCCAGGCCGGGGCCCGGCGAGCGGCGTCGGCGCTGCACAAAGAGAAAAGAGTGGTCCGGCTACAGATTTAAATATTCCAGAAAAGCACATAAAGAATTTTATTAAATATCTGATTTAAACAAAAATGCTGTAGGTTTTTTTAAAAGATTTTTCAGGAAATATTTCTTTTTTTTCTTTCTGAGAAAGTTTGAAATTTTTCCAGAAAAATGTCGGACTTTGAGATCCTCGGGTGCATCGCAAAAGGCCGCAAACGAAAAATTCGAGAAATTTGACAAATTCTTACCGCATGCTAGAGGCGAATTGGCTCGCAACCCGACCCCTGGACGAGCTGCGGCTTCTGCTGCGGTGGCGGCTATTGTAAAACGAAAAGAAAAAGTGGGTGAAACAAACTTCCTTACCCCAAAGAAAGGAAAACCGCTACTGGGCCGCAAAAAAATAAAAATAATGACCAGTATAAAACAAATCAATCAATTATTACCTGCTGCCTGCGTCACTGTCGCCTTCCGGAGCGGACACCTGCGACAGCAAAGGCGATTAGAGGAGCCGGAAATGGGAGTCCGGGAGTCGGAGGAAAGTCTTGGCCATTTCTTTTAATGGCGTAATAAGACTGAATTAATTCCATGAAGCCTCGTGGAGGCCACCCC